ATTTCTGCCAACAGTAAAGAGAGGTCATTTGTTTCAGTAAAATACAGAAAAGCTGCTTAAAAATGACCAAAACACAAAGAAAATGTGACTATACTGACTCATATGTTCGTTATGAATGGGCTGAGTGCAACAGTTTTCCTTAATCACGCACTCGTTTCACAGTTTTATTATGACCAACCACCACAAACCAGAGACGTCCAAGTTTTGATTTTGAAGATCTGGTCACCCTTCTCCCGCGAGTGTTAACAGCAGGTTTGACCGACAGCTTTGTGAAGCACTCGTCCCCTGCCAAATGAGTGGTGTGGGTTGGAAGAGACGTTACCTTGAAAACCCAAGGCCAGCAGTGACTCTTTGGTCGCTATGATTTGGAATTCCAAATATGGAACTGGGCTCCAAATTTGCCCCAATCACTTCTACTCTTGATGAGCTTTATATGGAGCCAAACGCTGTGGGTAACATCTCGCTCACTTAGTCCACTTCAATAGCCCCTTAAGAAAAAATATGCGACAAACTGTTTGGATCAAGATATAAACCGAGATAGCGGCTGCATTCCCCCAGTGCCGGTTAGTCAGTATGCAGGACTTTATTAGGAACCTTTGACAAGCACTTGTTTCTATGGATGTAACAATAACCAAAATATTGTGATATCGAATTGTCAGAAATCTCACAGTAATATCGTGGGCATCACAATATATCGAATTACAGAGCGTAGAGCTGTGAAGAGCTGTGAAGTCATGACGTCAAACTCAAGTGTCTGTCTGGGTCCCTTTTGTGGAACAGCACAACAGTAAACAAAGCGTTGAGATGGATGTAGACGAAGACAGACGTTTTGTGTTGGCAACGATTCCCGAGATCGAGGATTTAAACCTGGAACAAAGAGAATGTTTGGTGAATTTTATCAAGTGGAAAAACGTTATTGTCCTTCTTCCTATGGGATTTGGGAAAAGCTTAACCAGTGCGGCGCATTACATTTGACATGACCAAATAGCAGCAATTGGTTAAATAAAAAAAGTACCCACCTACTGTCGAGCGAATGAATTCTAACACTGCGAGGTCAGATGGTTTCCTCAAAGTGAAACCGGCTGAAGAATCAGGTTAGTGTTGTGGAGCAGCAATAGCTTGATAGATTGGTCCATTGGCTCCGTCCTTTACGTGCTGGTTTCAGACGGGGATGAGTGAGACCAGTACACAATGGACTGGGTCTGAGCGGTGCCGTTGTCTGTGTGCTGTTTTCATGCAGGGATAGTGAGAATGTGCTGTGGACTGCAGGTCTGGACGGGCTGCTCCAGGCCGAGGCTCCTAACATCACTCCCCGCTCCAGCTCCTCTGAGTCCGACCTGAACCAGAGCTGCTCCCGCTGGGTCAGGACTCTGGTTTGGATTTAGTTCGACTGTAGCATTTCTCACACGAGGTTAAATGCAGCTCATTACCTCCGCCAAGGAGGTTATGTTTTTGCCGGCATTTGTCTGTTTGTCTGTTTGTTTGTTTGTCTGTTTGTTTGTTTGTCTGTTAGCAACATAACTCAAAAAGTTATGGATCGATTTTGATGAAATTTTCAGAATTTGTTGGAAATGTGAAAAGGAAGAAATGATTTCATTTTGGGGGTGATCCGGAAGAAATCCTGGATTCTGGATCACTTTGAAATTTTAGTTAACATTGTGGTAAATGGGGCCAAAAATGTTGTTTCTCAATATCTCGGTTAATTATTGACCAAACCCCATGAAATTTGACTCAGGGATGGACAATGGGATCCTCTTTCATATTCCAAATTGAAAGATACGAGACAAATATTAATGGAAAACACAATATGAGGGGGACTGTAGTCCTTGGCGGAGGTCTGCGCTCTCTGAGTGCTTTTCTAGTTTTATAAATTGAACCAACTGAATCGGGCCTATTCAGTTTAGATTGTCTGTGGTGTCTTTTTCTTTTTCACATTTGAGTCTGTATCACTCAACAATTCAGAGATGGGGACCCCGAATATTGACGGGTCTTTCATACTGACGGCAGCTCCGCTTGTCTCGTCTGTCAGCTTCAACCGGGATCAGATACAACTGAACCTTGTGTCTTTATCTCTTTGCTGATCACAGCTCTGTGCGCAACACTTTTCCACCATGTGTCTTAATGCGAAAATCAAAAGAATGACTCGAAAATGTACTAACTTTACAGTGGCGGTCTATTGGCACTCTGGACGTCACATGCAGGGTCTCTATAAGCACTTTTCAATCTTAACTCTATGGTTTATGACAGAACCAAAAGGAACAATTATCATATTATATACTTTTGTTAACCTCCACCAAATATCGCAATAAATATCGTATCGAAATGTGAACATCGTTACATCATGACTTGTTTCTAGTTTTCGCAAATTTGAAACATAAGGAAATTTCTGTTTATTTATTTGTTATAGTCAAATTAATAATCTCAACTTAATTTATCATCTACTTGAAGGAAAAAACAGAAACACAGAACATTTTTTTATATACATCTATATAAATTCAGGCGTTAAGTGGTGAAACGGTCGAGGCTCCTTCCTTGTCTCCTTGCTTCCTCCCCTGAGTCCTCTGTAGGATTTAAAGTTGATGAGGTTAATTAAACCTGATGACAAAAAAGGACAAAAAAAAAAAAAAAAAAAAAAAAAAAAAGAATCCCCTCCTCCTTCTTGTTGCAGCTCTCTGTGTGACTGTGGGTGAGGCGGAAAAGTCTTGCTCAAAGGCCCAATGTCAGAGGTGAGGATCGAACCGTCGCACAATCTCCCTCCCTCCCTGAACAAAGCAGCTTTATAAATCATCTAAATGTGTCAGATGCCCTCCCAGTGTCTCCCCCAGGTCTTATTCTGTGTAAAAGCTGCAAACCCTCGAGTTAAGATCAACACAAACATGGTTCAGACAAACTAGAACTAACCAGGACTAAACCAGGACTAAACTAGAATTAAACCAGGTCTAAGCCAAGTCCAGACCATGTCCAGACCAGGTCCAGGAGGGCTGTATCTGAAGCTCCTCCCTCTGTCTCATTCCTCCGCACGCTCCTCAAGCAAGCACATTTCTGAGGGAAACCAGGACTAAACCAGAGCTGAACCAGGACTGACCCAGGACTGAGCCAGGACTAAACCAGGACTGGACCTGGACTGAGCCAGGACTAAACCAGGTCTGAACCAAGTCTGACCCAGAACTGAACCAGGACTGGACCAGGGCTGGATCAAGGCTGGACCAGGGCTGGACCAAGACTGAGCCAAGACTAAACCAGGACTGAACCAAAACTGAACCAAGACTGAACCAGGGCTGAAGCAGGGCTAAACCAAGACTGAATCAGGACAAAAAAAAAGCACTAAACCAGGACTGAACCAGGACTGAAAAAGGACTGATCTAGAACTGAATAGGACTGAACCAAGACTAAACCAAGTTAAAATCAAGGCTAAACCAGGATTAGACCAGGACTGATCCAAGACTGAACCGGGACTGAACCAGGTCTAAACCAGAACTGAACCACAACTAAACCAGGACTAAACCAGGACTGAACCAGAACTAAACCAGGTCTACAGGATGGTGAAGTGTCTTGTTGGACCCTCTTTGGTCGGTCTGCTGTTGATCTCATCCTCAGGTCAGTTTATAAACTTTTTATCATTTAAAATAATCTGTAAAAATATTTAAACATCTGAAAACTAAAGTTCACATATTACACTATTTTCTGATCTATGTTATAATGTTTCCTCATCAATCACATCTGGAGTTTAGTTAGATCGACAACATGGTTTAAAGTCCAGATCTAGATCAGATTTAAAGATCTGGGTTCAAGCAGGTTAAGGTTTGATTCATTTGTTTTTATTTCAAGTTTGTGGCAAGAGAGAAACAATAATCACACACGTACAAACTGTAAGCAACAGAAAAACACATTTCTCGAAAAGGAGCAGGAAGACAAATTTCTTTTAACTTATGATATAGTTTCAAAAATGAAGTGGTTTCTTATGTACATTGATCACAGAACTTTACAAATATTTACATCTAGCAAAGTAAACTGCACACTTTGGTTGTACAAACTAATAAAAATTATAAACAAGGCACAGAATTTTATCGTTTATGGTCGTGTCAAAATAAGTAAAATGAGAATGTAAGGATTTTTTTTTGTTTATGATTTACAAAAGTTTATTGTTTATGATGGTGCACATTAAACCACAATGTATGGAAGCCCATTTCTGCCAGTAAATAATAAATAAAGTCATAATTATGAGTTTAAAAGTCATAATTACGAGTTTTAAACTAATAATTATGAGTTTTAAAGTCATAATTATGAGTTTTAAATTAATAATTAAGAGTTTAAAAGTCATAATTATAAGTTTAACAGTCATAATTATGAGTTTTAAAGTTGATTCTGAATCTGTCCTTGTCTTGGAAGCACACGGTCATTTTCCTGGAGAGGCCGTGCTCCAGGAGCTCAGGACGTTTCCACATTGCTCCATTTCCTCGTTAACTTGTTGTAAAAAGACAAAAAAGAGAAGAGAGAGAGATCGAGAAAAATCCCATATGAATGAGTACGTGCAAAGTGTCCGTCTATGTTCCTCTGTCCATGGTAGCGGGTTTAGTCCAAACGGGGGATGAAGCACCTTTTGGCCCTTTTGACCCGGTCTCCTGGTCCTGGTTGGGAAATGATACGTTTTGCAGGGCCCTTGGCACAGACTACTTTGAGTCGCTCAGTAATGAGTAATATGGGCATATGGCAAATCATTTAGACACAGTGTGAAGTGAATTAGTAAAATAACTACATATATTTACTTGTAGTGGGTTCATCCACGGCTTCTACGGGAAAATTATGACTTTTAAACTTGTAATTATGATTTTTAAACTTGTAATTATGACTTTTTAAAACTTGTAAATTATGACTTTTAAAACTTTTAATTATAATTATGACTTTTTAAACTTTTAAAACTTGTAATTATGACTTTTAAACTTGTAATTATGATTTTTAAACTTGTAATTATGACTTTCTGTGAGGCTTTTATTTTTTATTTACTGGCGGAAATGGGCTTCCATAACAATGAGAATGAAAAAATGAAAGAATTTTTTGTTTTTGCTTTCATTTACGGTTGTACAAACTAAAAATAATAATAAAGAAGTCACAAAATGTATCGTTTATGATCTTATCAAAAGAAAAGTTAAAGCATGTTTTTAGGTAATAGTCGTGTTTTACTTGTGAAGACAATATATCTAGTCTTCTAAGAATTTCTGTAAGATTAGATTTTTATATTGTTTTTTTGAAATGCACCAAGTTAGTCCAAGCTTTGATATGGTCGTCTAAACTGTTCCGTAATTCTACTCCACCTCTACTAACACACATGCTTTTGAGAGCGGTTCCAGAGAATTGTCTTTTAAAATTCACTTCGAAAACACCTCAAAAAACAATAATTCTGACCTGTCACTTTGGTCCTTTTTGGTTTCCATGAGGATAGAAAAGTGTAATGCCATACTGTGAAACATTCCAGACAAAACAATAAACAAGCGAAGTCAAGTGAACAGGCAACGTTTATCTTTAGTTCAGTAGAGATCGGCAAATCCAGGGCTTAAATCACCCAAATGATTCTAGTGAAGGTGTGTGGAGTTTAAACACACAGTGGAGCACTTCCTGTATCACCACAGGAAGAATTCAGCCTAAATATGCAGGGTTTGTGTTAAAGAGTGAATGTTATATTTGTATGAGGAAACAGTTTTATAACCCAGGTCAGAAAAATGAGTAATATGGACACTTTGGGACTCGCAGACGGAGACAGAGACAGACTCCTCTTCTGTTCTGAGTGTTGGTGCATTAGTGAGAAATGTTAAACAGAACTGCTCAGGTCTAAACACAAAACTCTTCTCTCAGCTCTGAGTACGAAAAGAACGATTCATCTGTTCAGACTGGTGACATCATCAGGTGGTGCTCCGTGGATTTTTTAAAAGTCTGCTGCCTTGATTTGTCGCGTCCTTCAGAGTCTGTGGGTTAAACTCTGTGTCAGGAGCCGTGGGACCCGTCTCCAGATCTTGGGCTGGTCTTGGTCAGGACAAACTTTGACCTTTTGTTTGTGTTTTGGGTTGATGGAGGAAACCGGTGGCTCAGGTCAGACTGGAGTGTGTAGAGTAGAGTTTGATGCGATCTCTCTGAAAGTCGACCAGGAAAAGGTGGAACGTCATGATGAGTATTTGAATCTGATTTGTCGAAGCGTCACTGCAGAGGAACAAGTCGAGAAATCAAAGTTTATTTACGTCCAGTTGAGAGAAAAACACAATCTTCCCTGTCCAAATGCACAAATCTCTTTATGAATGTCACAAACTAAATTCTCTGTATTTCTTTGATACTCAGCTGAGGTGTACATGTTTGTTTTGGTTCTGTCGGGCCTTTGGCTTCACTCAAACTTCTCTCAGGATAGATTCTCTTGAGTTTGTGAACTCACTTCCTCCTCCTCCTCTGTTCCTCCTGTGGTTCATCTCTGTTATGAGCGACATATTTTATGTGTTTATAAAAAAAAAATCCCCCTCATAAAGTCTCATTAAAGTTTGTTTTGTTAAGACCAGGTCCAGGACCAAGACTTAACCAGGATCACACCAGGACTGGTCCTCGGTCTAAACTGGGTCTAGATTAGATTTAAACCCGGTCTAGATTAGGTCCCTCATCTAAACCGGTCTACATCAGGTCTAAAGACGGACTAGATTAGGTCCCAGGTCTAAGTCCAGTCTACTCCATTAGGTCTAAACTCGGTCTACAGTTCATTGGTCTAAAGTCGGTCTTGATGAGGTCCAGCTGGTCTTTGTCAGACTCTTGATGATGTTTGTCTTTTCACACTCACAGTAAAAACGTCTCCTCACCCTCATCTCCTAACTCCTATGTCCTAACTCCTGTTTCCTATGTCCTAACTCCTGTCTCCTATGTCCTAACTCCTGTTTCCTAACTCCTATGTCCTATCTCCTGTCTCTTATGTCCTAACTCCTATGTCCTGTCTCCTATGTCCTAACTCCTGTGTCCTATGTCCTGTCTCCTATGACCTAACTCCTGTGTCCTATGTCCTGTCTCCTATGTCCTAACTCCTATGTCCTGTCTCCTCTGACCTAACTCCTGTGTCCTAACTCCTGTCTCCTATGACCTAACTCCTGTGTCCTAACTCCTGTCTCCTATGACCTAACTCCTATGTCCTAACTCCTGTCTCTTATGTTCTAACTCCTATGTCCTGTCTCCTATGTCCTAACTCCTGTGTCCTAACTCCTGTCTCCTATGTCCTAACTCCTGTCTAACTCTTGTGTTCGAGCTCATACCTTCTGTCTCCTAACTCCTATGCCCTGATTCCTACATCATAACTCCTAACTCCTATATCGTATCCCCCATCTCCTCCTCCTCTCCTTTCCTTGTCTCCTCTCTCCCTCTTCACGTGTCCTTGGTCCCCCCCCCTTGTCCTTTTGTTACCCCCCCTCGTCATATCTCCTGTCTGTGGGTGCTGTCCCAGTCTCCGTGTGAGTAATGTCCACATAAAGGACACTTCCTTATACAGACATGTCTCTGCTGCAGGACGCTGTGTCCCTCCAAAAACAACAGCTCCACAGCGCCCCCTGGACCTGCCCTCGCTCAGCACATGGTCAAATCTTTATTACAGTTTTACAGTGTTATGTGTTAGTATTATTAAGTCTCAGTGTCGGCACAAATACCAAAACTTTCCATTGAAGGAGCATTGACCATTGATTTGATCCATTTTTATACTATTCCATTTATACTTTAATTCTCATATTAATACTAAAAAAACACTTTACAGAACATAAAACACAACAACAGCAAACATCTATACACGGATTTGAACTGTAACACAAAAACAGATAACGATTTCTGTTTTTTTCAATTTTCGATTGTGTGTTTAAATGAATAAAGGAAAAAACGTCTGTTTCCCGTTTACGTGACTTAAACTGCGAAGCCAGACTGAACCAGGACTAAACCAGGACTAAAACGGGACTAAACCGGGACTACACCAGGACTAAACCAGGTCTAAACCAGGACTAAACCGGGACTACACCGGGACTAAACCGGGACTACACCGGGACTGAACCAGGACTAAACCAGGTCTAGACCAGAACTAATCTTAGACTTGAGAGAGAGCGAGAGAGAGAACCCTGAGCGTGTGGAGCAGGGTGTCTGCAAAGTGTGATCAGACAACGGCTGCGCTTTGCCCTGAGTGGCGCAGAGCTCGGCGCTGGTCCTTTCACCTGAGGTCATCTGATGGTCTACGTGGGCCTACCTCTGGGCCCATCCCGACACTCAGTCCTAGTTTAGTCCTGGTTCAGTCTGACTTTGCAGTTTAAGTCACGTAAACGGGAAATGGCCGTTATCTGTTTTTTCCAATCTTCATTTAAACACAAAATCGAAAATTGAAAAAGCTAATCCTTATCTGTTTTTTCATTTTGGTTTTGGAGACAAATAATGAAGAAAATTATTGTTTTTTCATTTCCTTATTTTTGGTTTTATTTTGAAAAATGAATGAACTAATGATACACAGATTAACCAGGTTTTCCCTACAGAGACTTTGAGGTCCTGGCCCAGTTCAGATCCCCACTCTCTGGACAGTGTCTGGAGGACGATTACAGAAGTTTATAAATCTGATGACTGTGTTTATGTTTTAACCACAAAGAGTCCTTTACTTGTTCAATCATTCACAGCTGTTTTGTATATTGTGTGTATAGTTTTCCAAAGAGTACAAAAGATTTTTTAAAGTTTATAAAATGTGCAAAAGCAACTGAAAAAACTGTAAAATAAATGATTGTGTTTCAGTGTGTCTGGCAGCCAGGGGGCGCTACGCTCAGCAGCTCTTCAGAGACCTGTTTATGAACTACACCAGCGCCCTGCGTCCTGTCAACAACACCGAAAACGCCATCAGCGTCACACTGCAGGTCACACTGTCCCAGATCATCGACATGGTAAAGCCCTGATGCCCTCCCACACACACACACACAACAAACACACACACACACGCCCTCTGTGCCACATGTGTCAGATGTGTCAGATGCCCTCCCTCTGTATCAGATGTGTCAGATGCCCTCCCTCTGTGTCGGATGTGTCAGATGCCCTCCTCTGTGTCGGATGTGTCAGATGCCCTCCCTCTGTGTCGGATGTGTCAGATGCCCTCCCTCTGTGTCAGATGTGTCAGATGCCCTTCCGTCTCTTTCAGGACGAGAGGAACCAGATCCTGACCCTGTACCTGTGGGTGCGGCAGGTGTGGATGGACTCGTTTCTGACCTGGTCCAAAGATGATTATGACGGACTCGACTCCATCAGCATCCCGAGCCGCTACGTGTGGAAGCCCGACATAGTGCTGTACAACAGGTCTCCCTCTCCCCAGACGCTTCCTCTGTCCTCCCCCTCCCCAGACGCTTCTCCCGAAGAGACGATTTAAACACATTTTCAGGAGCCTGTGATCAATACAAGTTTTCGACTGTCATATTTAGGAGTTTGATTTTCATTGAAATATTATAATATTATTATTACAAATGAATGGCTTTTATTTGGGTCACTGTGTCCTCTCACTGCAAAAAACTAAATCTAGCCAAGTTAAGACAACTTAAATTAAGAAAGTTCTATCATGATCTGAGTAAATTCCACTTGACCTGTAAAATTATCTGCCAATTAGGGGTGTAACGGTAGATGCATTTGTGCTGAACTGTTTTGGTACGGGGCGTTTGGTTCGATGCAGGGCTGTGCACGAGTGAATTCACTACTGAAGCCACTACAAGGCTACTAGGCTCATTAATATGACAAGGGAACTTGTCCGTGATTGAAGTGGCAGTGTTTCCTGCAGTGCTTTATAGTTCAAGTGGCCACCTTCACAACAATTGACCCTTGTCTTGACTACGTCTCTCTGAACCATGTGAAAACTACGGTCGTCATGCTGTGGTCCTCACTTTCGACAGTACGGTTCATTTTCGATACAGTATGAGAACAAAATGCAAAACCATTTGCTTGTTGTTCATTTGTGTTTTTATTAAACCAACAATTTGTTTTAACATTATACAAAGAGGAAAATACAGTAAATGCAAAGTGCTGCTTTGTAATACTAATAAAGGAAATAAAATATTCTCAAATAAGCAGCAAATGTATGAAATATTATAAACAAATAAATTCCTTGTAAAAAAGTAAAGTGCAGCACTAACAGTTCCAGGAAGAAATTTTACTCAATCTTCATATTTTTGACCGGAAAAACCAACATCCCCAGCAACCAAAAATACACTTTTGCCAGGGACAGGTGGCGGGTGTGGGGCAGAGATTCCGTGAAAAGTGAAAGTGAGGACCACCGTGCGCCGATCGTAGTTTTGCGAGGATTCACGTGGTTCGGAGGGACGTAATCAAGGCGCGGGGGCAATTGTTGTTGAGGTGGCTGCTCAGACTATAAAGAGCCAATCCTCCATGTAGCTGCACATGTAGTGGCGGAATGTAAATACTCACAAATTGCATGAACTCGCTCATGTACAGCTCTGCACCGTCCTGTACCAAAACGGTTATCCAAAACTTATCTACATATTGTTTTGAATCTTCTCACATGTTTTAGTGCTGACGATGAGTTCTCGAGTTCCATGGAGACGAACGTGGCTCTGCGTAGCGACGGTAAGGTGACGTGGGACCAGCCAAGCATCACCAAGTCCTCCTGCTCCGTAGACGTGGCGTTCTTCCCCTTCGACCTGCAGCAGTGCGTCCTGACCTTCGGCTCCTGGACTCACAACGGGAACCAGATGGACCTGAACATCGAGCTGGACACGGCCGACCTCGCTGACCTCGTCCCCAACGTCGAGTGGCAGGTGAGGATTAGAAGAGGTTTTAAGTTCAGTCCTGGTTCAGTCCTGGTTCAGTTCTGGTTCAGTTCTTGTCTCTTCTCTCAGGTCCTGGGGATGCCAGCCAAGAAGAACGTGATCTTGTACGGCTGCTGTTCGGACCCGTACCCGGACATCACGTTTACTCTGCAGCTCAAACGCCGCGCCTCCTTCTACATCTTCAACCTGCTCCTGCCCTGCATGATGATCTCGTTCCTGGCGCCGCTCGGGTTCTATCTCCCGGCCGAGAGCGGCGAGAAGGTGTCCCTGGGCGTCACCGTGCTGCTGGCGCTCACTGTGTTTCAGCTGCTGGTGGCAGAGAGCATGCCGCCCTCCGAAAGCGTCCCTCTGATCGGTGAGAGACGGGGATGAGGCAGAGCTGGGCTAGACCTGGGGGGTATTCCATCAAAGTGACTTAACAAATCCAGGCTTATCCTGAAATCCTGAACTGAATCTAGTTCCATCTTAAGCCTCAAGTTGTTCTATGACAAAAATAAACCTAAGTCTGACCAAAGCCACTCAGGCCTGGAGTTTAAGGTGCGCGTTGGGTGTGCTCCAGGTTGACTCTAGGAAGGCCAGAGCAATGGAGCAACACCATCATGGAAATGGGCCAGAAATGATGTGCTGATGTGTTTTATTATCTGATTAAATGAGAGAGGAGCCACAGTGTTCAGCCACAGCATTTGATTTTCCAGTCATTCTGATCTGATCCTGGTCGATCCTCCCCCTCTCCCGATCACTCTGTGGACAGAGAGGAGGCTGGTTAATACTCCTGGGGAATGAATTTGCCTGACCCCGTCCCGATGCGCGGCCGTACTTGCGGAGCTTAAGTTCTGCTGTGTGTAAAAGTGAAGCTGTAACAGAACTCTTCCTTTGTAGCCTAGAGAAACGATAAAATCCGTGCTGACGTGTTTGCAGTTTGACAGAGAGCGAGAGACGAGAGAGAATGAAGACAGAACCCACTGAAAACCACTTCATCCTCAGAGTCCAAACCAGCCTCTGTCTGTGTAAAAGCTGCTCTGCCCCTCACAACAGACACATGTGCAACAGCATTTGAATGAAATAATGACCACAGGCTGTGCGTTTGTGTTAAGTGCAGCGTCCATGCACATGTGTCTCTCGTGCGTAGGACTGTATTGTCTGTAAAAGTCTCAAGCCACATGTAAATTTAAAAGTCACTTTTTCACGGGTATCAGACAGAGACAGGTGTTTTTCTAACACAGGTTTGTGATGCACAGGCTGAAACTTTTGTCTAAACTGTTTCTTTAGACATTCTTGGAGACAGAGCCAAAAATAATCTTGACAGTCTAGTCTGGTCCCGACCAGGTTTGTTTCCAAGTGCTTGTTACTGCGGCAACTCAGGTCACCTCTGGTCAGTCACTTTTTCTGAGACTTTGATAATCCTGGATTGGCCAAATAAACCAGGCTTTCACTTTAGCTCGCTTCATGGAATACTCCCCAGGGTTAGTAGTTTAGTCCTGATTTAATCCTGGTAAAGTCCAGGTTTAGCACTGGTTTAGTCCTGCTTTTGCCCTGGTTCAATCCTGGTCTAATCCTACTTTAATCCTGTTTTAAACCTGATTAATTCCTGGTTGAGTCCTGCTTTAGTCCTGGTCTTCTGGTTTTGTGTTGCAGGTAAATACTACATAGCGACAATGACGATGGTGACAGCGTCGACGGCTCTGACCATCTTCATCATGAACCTTCATCACTGTGGACCCGAGGCTCGACCTGTCCCACACTGGGTACGAGTCCTGGTCCTGAAGTACCTGAACCGGGTCTGCCTGGTCTATGAGCTGGGAGAGACCTGCAGCAGAGAGACCGAGGAGAGCCAGGTACTGAACAGGACTAAACCAGGACTGGACCAGGACTAAACCAGGACTAAACCAGTATTAACCAGATCAAATATATAAAACACTTCCTCTTTCTCTAGGCAGCAGAGGGCGCTCACGGCTGGGACGATCTCAACGGTTACAAACATGATCAAGTTTCAGTGACCATCAACAAAACAGAAAACTCAAATCCGATCTGTGCCCGGCAAGTCCAGAGCCTCACCCAGACCAATTACACCAATTTGAGACCTCAAGAAATCAGGAACAACACGATCTGCGACAGGAACAGCACAAAAACTGGATTTAAAGACACAAATGACACAGAGACCGAGAGGACGGAGAGAGGAGGGACACAAAATGGAGGACAGGCTTTGGTCAAAATGGCTGCCACAAAGATTCAACGACAAGAGGAGGAGGCTAAAGATGAGGGAATTACGGAAAGATCTGGGCGGGAAAAACAAGGAGAGGAACTTCAAGATGACGGCGATGTTTTTGAGAAAGTGAAAGTGTTCGATAACGTGAGTCGCGAGTCAGGAGACGGGAATGACACGGCGAATGTGGAAACGGAGAGCGACGAATCGGCCGCTAAAGCAAAAGTGTCTAGAAAATCATCTTCTGAGAGCGGCGCAGGAGGAGTTTGTGATTCCAGGGATGGAATGCAAATGGAAAACTTGAGAAAAAACATGGAATTCGTCGGAAAGAATGACAAATTCACAGACGTCACTGAATTGTCCGGAAGCGCGGGCTGCGTTTGCTGTCACTGCTGCTGCCGCCGCGTCGGTCCGGGGATTCGTGGCGACGGCTGCGGATGCCGTCTCCGTGGCGACGCGGCGTGGGGGCGTCTCCGCGGCGACGTGACCTCCATCGCCGCCTCGTTCCAGGAGCAGAGAGATGCGCAGACGCTCATTGGAGACTGGAGAAAAGTGGGCAAAGTTCTGGACAGAGCCCTAATGTGGATCTTCTTCATCATGGTCTTCATCATGAGTGTACTTATACTTGGAAAGAGTATTTGAAGTACTACTACTACTACTACTACTACTACAACCAGAACTAATACAACCCAACTCTTTGTTATGAGTGTTCTTATAAAGCAGTGCCTCTCAGTTATTTTCCCCCCTAGGAAGAAGAAAACATTTCGGACCCCTACACTCTCCGCCGCGACTATAAATAGTATAATTTGGATTCACAAAGCCACCAAACCACCAACGCTACCATCAGCAACGCTACGGTAAAAGCCAATAAAACAGAGCGTCAGGGGCAGACGAATCAGTGGACACAGAAGTGCGAGATACAAACTCGGGAAATAGCGAAAATACTGACAAGACTTTATTCCTCACCTCTCGTAAAGTTGTAAATTTAAAGTGCAGCATCTCATCCACATTATCAATAGAAACTGTCCTCTGCAAATAATGACATCCAGTCCACAAAACCACACTGTGAATTCAGTTTGAGGCGTTCTTTAAAAGTAAAAAGGCAAGAGTAGTTCCTCTCGTGTGTTTGTTTACATCCACACTGCAGATTAACAAGTAGCTCTACTTCCTATTACTTTATTGCTTAAAAAATCATGTATCTGAAGTTTTGCACCATTTCACAAATAATAGTAACACAGTTTTGACTTTTATCTGAACTAGAAGTGCAGAGCTCTGATCTTTTGATCACTTAAGAGTCTCAGAGCGACTGGTTTTACTGTAGACAGGAAACAGCCGAGGCGATCGCACTCACAACTTTATATCCTGTGGTCCGCAGACAGATCCCGCTGCAGTCTTTGTGATTGGAGATTTTAAGTCTCATAAGATTGTCCTCGTGTCTGTGCGGTGTGCCTTTTGTCACATGTTCAAAAATCATTTAAAACTCCAAATCCTGTAGTATGTTTAGGGAGTGATGTCACCCATGCTGTACCCATAGGCTTCAGTAAAATGAATCTCACGATGCTTTTGCAGTTAGATGAGAACATTTGGAGCGGAGTTCCATAGTAGAAATAGGAATTAATTTACGGATAAAATAGCAAAATAAAAACACCAGGATCATGACGAGAGATCAATGTAAAGTCAATTGCAGCCAAAGTCGATGTAGCCAGATTCTCAAAATAAAAAACTGGGACATCCCTGGTTTGGGTTTGTTGGTAATAATAAAAATTGTGAAACGAGTGCACAATGAAGGAAAATTGTTCTGCACTCGGCACTAATGTGAGTCAGTGTAGTCACATTTTCTTTGTGTTTTTGTCATTTTGGGAATCCTTCTTGCTGTATTATTAACCATCATCTTTTGACTTTTTTAATGCCACATCAGCGCATTATTACTACTTATTATTTATATTTTTGGATTGAATGCATGAAACCACAGAAACAGAGACTTTTCATTCACAGCAGTTTGTTATAGGCCACGTTTACATGATGTTTTTTAATTCTGAATTAATAGTTTGGAATGAAATAGTTCAGAATTAAAATGTTGTAATTTGAATTTACATGGAAATAATAATTCAGAAATGAGGTTTACATGGAAAACTCATTATATCGCCTTTATTTAATTGCGTTCAGCGTCTGGAGGTGGGGAAGGTTCTGATTAGACAGAGACACAAACATATTTACGTCAACCGGAAGAAAACACACACTTCAGCTGCTACCGTCTTTTCTGTCATCTCGGTTTGTCGTTATGCCACGGACACAAACATGATACAAACTTTTTCGCAGTGTTTCTGATGATAATTGTGCAGCGGTTGGGGAATTCTCTTATCACGCTTTACATCAGAGAAGGGAGGAAGAAGACAAAGTGAGTGTGAGGCTGCTCTACCTCAGCCCACTCCCACATCCTGCTCACAAATCCAAAGAGACGTGGATGAAAGTCCGAAGCCTTGACTGGTGGAGCCGGAACGTCCGGAATGCGTCAGAAGGACGACGCAACAAGCATGCACTGAACAACCAGAATTTATAAGAAAAAAAAAACGTAATGACCAAAAGGACAAGATCGTAGATACAAGCGGTTGAAAGGAGTTTCCTCCACAGGGTGTCTGGGTGCTCCTTAGAGATAGGGTGAGGATTTCAGTCACATGGGAGGAGCTCGGAGTAGAGCCGCTGCTCCTCCAGATCGAGAGGATCCAGCTGAGGCTCAGGCGTCTGTTCTAGATGCCTCCTGAATCTGTGTATCATTCGTTCATTCATTTTTCAATTTAAAATCAAAAATAAGAAAAATGAAAAAACAACTATTTTCTTCATTATTTGTCTCCAAAACTAAAATGGAAAAAACGGATAACAGTCGTTTCCCGTTTACGTGACTTCCATGACTGCGATGCCGGACTTTTGCACCGCATACGGACTGAACCAGGACTGATCCAGGTCCGAGACCAGACTGGAACCAGACTGGAACCAGACCGGGACCAGAGCGGGACTGTGATCGGGACCAGACCGGGACCAGAGCGGGACCAGAGCGGGACTGTGAACGGGACCAGAGCGGGACCAGAGCAGACACTGTGCTTTGACTCCGAGCCTCAGCTTTGAGTTTCAGCTCTACTGTGGGCTCTGAGCCTCTGGTCTTGTCCTGGTCTGGTCTTGGTCTCAGTCCTGATCTGGTCCCGGTCTGGTTCCGGTCTGGTCTCGGACCTGGAAACGGCCGTTATCCGTTTTTTCCATTTTTCATTTAAACACAAAATCGAAAACTGAAAAAACGAATCATTATCTGTTTTTTCATTTTTAGTTTTGGAGACAAATAATGAAGAAAACAGTTGTTTTTTTCGTTTTCTTCATTTTGGTTTAATATTGAAAAAGGAATGATACACTGATTCTCCCGGACGTCTCTTGGGAGGTGTTCTGTGCATGTCCCACCGGGAGGAGGACACGCTGAAGGGGCTATGTCTCTGGTCTGACCGGGGAACACCTCAGGGTCCCTCCGGAGGAACTGGAAGAAGTGTCTGGGGTGAAGGAAGTCTGGGAGTCGTTGCTCAGACTGATGCCCCGGATAAGTGGAAGAAAATGGATGGATGGAATAAATGTTTACATGATTAAGGAATAAATTAATTTGACTTTATCAGAATAAACCACCCACTTACATCGGCATTAAGTTTAATTCTGAATAATCATTTTCATAGGAATTAAGTGTTTACATGGTGTTTTTAAAGCAATATTTATTTTTATTCAGAATTTAATCTCTCATGTAAACGTGGCAGTTGTTTTTTGTGTGTCGCACTAAACACTCTTGTAAAGTTTGAGTCACAGTCGCTGCTTTGAACAGAATCGTGGGAAATAGAGAGACTTAACCTGAAGTTCATCTGTTCATCCTGAAGAGGGCGACTTTTGAATTAAAACACTAAACCTTTTAATGAAGCGCCGGGCATCGTGGGAAATGTAGGATTACTGGTTGTGACCTCATCGTTCTGTTTAAACGAGACAAACGCCAAATGACTTTCACTTTGTCTCAGTGTGTTTTTATGTCACTGAAGGAATTAAAGTTTATGAATAAAGTTTAATCTGGGTTTTGTGTCAGGTTTGTTTTTCACGTTTGGGAGGTTGAAGTAGCATAAAACACAAAGTCAGAACAGTGCCCCTCACTGGCAGCCGGAGGAAGTGTTTATTTGTGATCAGTCGTGCGAGAGTCGAGTCTGTGGAGTTTAATTAATCCCGAAGGAAAAGAAGAAGAAGAAAAAGACAAAAACAGGAAAGTGTAACAGGTGAACGTGGGACACAGAGGAGAGAGAGAGAGAGAAGGAGAGATGAAGAAAGGAGGGAGGGATGGAGAAAGAAGGGAGAGGAGAGAAAGGGGGAGAAATGGAGAGGAAGGAGGGAGAGTCGAGGCAGAAGAGTGAGAGAGGGGGAGAAATGAAGAAAGGAGGGAACGATGGGGAGGAGGAGGGAGATGGAGAAAGGGAGAGAGGAGAGAAAGGGGGAGAGAGGAGGGAGGGAGAGTCGAGGGAGAGGAAGGAAAGATGGAGAGAGGGGAAGAAATGAAGAAAAAAGGGAGAGAGGAAGGAAAGAGGAGCGAGGGAAAGGGGGAGAGATGAAGAAAGGAGGGAGACAGGAAGGAGGGAGGGAGGGGAGAGAGATGGAGAAAGAAGGGAGAGAAAAGAGGAGAGATGAGAGACGAGGGAGGGATGTGGAGAGGAAAGGAGGAGGAGAGAGGAAGGAGGGAGAGGAGAGAAAGGGAGAGATGGAGAGAGGAGGGGTGAAAGAGAAGGAGGAGAGAAAGGGGGAGCAATGGAGAGACAAGGGAGAGAAAGCAAGGGATAGATGGAAAGACGAGGGAGAGAGATGGAGAGACGAGGGAGAGAGAGCAATAGGAGGGAGAGATGGGGAGGAGGAGAAGGGAGAAACAGGTGAGAAATGGAGAGAGGAGGGTGAGGACGGGGGGGGATGGAGAAACGAGGGGAGAGGGAGGGAGAGAGGTGAAGAAAAATGAGAGGAGAGGAAAGGGGAGTGAAGGAGAGGTGAGGGGAGAGAGCAAGGGAGAGATGAGGGAGAGAGAAAGGGAGAGATAGAGAGGGGAGGGAGAGAGAGAGGTGAGAAATGTAGAGGAGAGGAGAGAGAGAGGAGGGAGAGGAGGAGGGAAGGAGGAGGGAAGGAGACATGAGGGAGAAGAGGGAAGGAGAGGGGAGAGGAGGAGGGGAAGCGAGGAGGGAGAGAGAGCAAGGGAGAGATGAAGAGAAGAGGACGGAGAGGAGGAGGAGAGGAGGGGAAAAGAGGAGGAGGGAGAGGAGGGAGGAGGAGGAGGGAGAGGAGGAGGGAAGAGGAGGAGGGAGAGGGGAGAGGGAGGGAGGAGGGGAAAAGAGGAGGAGGGGAAAAGAGGAGGAGGGAGAGGAGGGGAAAGAGGAGGAGGGAGAGGAGGAGGGAGGAGGAGGAGAGAGGAGGAGGAGGGAGGAGGGAAAAGAGGAGGAGGGGAAAGGAGGAGGAGGGGAAAAGAGGAGGAGGGGAAAAGAGGAGGAGGGGAGTCAGAGTCAGAGGTTTGGGAACAGTAACATGCGTCAATAACAAACATGATCTAACACTCAGAGCCCAGGGAATAATAAGAACTAAACGATAATAAAGTA